TGGACGAGGAGGAAGATAATATAGAAAAATTGCCGACATTCAAGCATACTATAGATGTTCCAGAACTGCTAAAGGGAAGTTCTAGTAGAAAGGACAACTAAGCGAAAGGCCTTCTTAGAAAGGCGGAGTGACATGTCTTGATCAGAGCCTAACAGTTAAATCTAAGATCAGACAAGAAAGAAGCAAAAGGCTAGGCAAAGAAGACGAGGGAGAAATCGTAGGTGAAAACATTGGGTTACCAACTCGGGTGGGTTCTCACACCAAGGTTCCTTTGTTTCGGGCAAGCCCAATTACAAACAAAAGAGAAGGTCGGTCCCGTACTCAAACCAAATCAGAAATGCGGTACTCACTCGGATGGAAGAATTCTAGGTCGGTCCCATACCCGAACAAAGGCTAGACCGAAGGTCCCGTCCCACGGGTTAGGTGCTTAGCTGAAGGTGGAAGGCAAAGCCAAGGCAAGAGCAAGGGTTGAAAGACAATATAGAAGAATTCAATCTCCCCTATTTGTTCCATTTTCAATGGTTGGTCAGGTTGAGATGAACTATGGGAATCTATATGTGGACTTCAAGGCAAAGCCAAGGCAAGAGCAAGGGTTGAAAGACAATATAGAAGAATTCAATCTCCCCTATTTGTTCCATTCTCAACGGTTGGTCAAGTTGAGATGAACTATGGGAATCTATATATGGACTTCAAGGTCAATCAACCCATGCAAAGAAATATATATCGATATCGACAATGCTTCAAGAACTCGATATACATGCGCCATAGTGCCAATGATCTCCTTTACCAACTGTTCTGCCCGTTGTTAGTGTTAAGCTTCCACATTCACTCCCAGGCCGCTGATGAGACCGTCACTTTTCTATTCAATTACCTAAAAAGAAGGCGCGTGCGTCAATGTTTTGATTGAGTGAATGATCCATCAATAAGATCAAGCTGGAAGGTCTGTCTTGAGTTCAGTTTCTGTCAACGATGAAAGACAGTAAATTCAGTATATTCTCAAATCAAGTCAACAAGTAAATATGTATGTGTCTCTATTCGAAGAAAAAAAAGAAGGCACCACCACCGAGAACTGACTCCACAACCGAGAAGCGTGTAAGTCTTCCTTATTCAATCAACTCTAATTTAGTACTAGTACGATCAAGAAAAGTAAGAAGTTGAACCAGAGTCACTATTATTATTAGTAGTATAGTCAGTTGTATATGTACCTGCACGAATCTTTCAAGTAATTCATTAGCCATAAAGTCCAAATAGAGTAAGGAGTAAGTGCATCAATGTCTAAGGGTATAGATCAGGACTCATTGATTTAAGATTCTGCTTTGAAGAAGAGATTCTTGTTCAAGATGGTTGTTTTCCCCTCATTAGTAAATACTTGAATTTTTCAAGGTTTCGCTCCGCGTATGCCATATCCTTCGAGGGTCAATTTACTTGTCTGCCGAATGAATAGCTCACATTTGTTCTGTGGGGAATACAAGAAAGCAAAAATACCTTTTAATTAAAAGAAGGAATACCTTCCAAGGATAAAACAAGTCCTCCTCTGTGAAGCCTAATCAAAGCTCTCGCTTTAGAACTGACATTCCGAGCCTGCAATTTAATAAACTCGTAAATAGATCTTAAAGAAAAAGTGCATCGCTCTCACGCTCGTCAGTAAAGTCAGTTATTCGTCTTTTAGAAACGAGTGTTGTGTACTAATAGACTTGCTTACCGTAAGTGCAACGAAAGACCGATTATATCTATTGTTCCATAAATCCATAAGGGCTGGAGCGCCTTTCGAACGGTAGGTATAAGTTACGACTTCGCTTCTGAAAAGATAGATTGGGCTCTGATTTACCAGCATCCACTACCGGCTGGAGGGAGTTGCCTTACTTAGCGCCTGCTCTTATTCCTGCCCGGAAAAAATAACTCTCTCTCATGCCCGCCTGACAAAGATAGAAGGTTTCACTTGCCCTACCGCTTTCGTTGCCCATAAAGACTCTATCTCTACAGCCGTCTTCTCTTTCATTTTTATTACAAACAAAGCGATCCGCTTTCATAACTAATAAGGCGTAAAAGACGGGAGTCTCGGTATTCGTTCTGACTTCTGGAATTAGTTAACTCATCAGGCTCATGACCTGAAGACTACAGGTTCGAATCATGTCCCCACATAATGAGATTAGACTTTTATTAGGTAGGGATACTGGAAAAGAGGTCAGATCGGAATGACTACGATAGTATAAGCAATGCTTTCTTAGGCTAGTGAACTCCGGTGTCCAAGATAGAGGTAACGCTTTCCACAAGGCAGGAAGGAATAGCACTGAAAGTTGTTCCAGAAAAGCAAGAAAGAGGACTGACTAGTAGAACGAATAGGAGGAAAGGGCTAGTAAAGCAACATGACTACCTACCCGTATGAGAAAGTTTGAACTAAGACTTATGTTGAACGACTACTTCTGGACTAGTAGGTTGGAACGATACGTATGTACTAGGTTGTTTGGACGGATATCATTTTGACTTTGTTTACATCCAAGCAAGAAAACTACATATTTGCTCAATCCCGGGCTAGAATGCAATCCCTAGTGGAACAAAGAGTTTGATTTTTGTTAGATGCGGCACCCTCTAGTACTAGTCTTGTTAAAGCCAAGCCAGCTACTTCTTTTCAAAGCTCTTCTCTTGATGTAAAGCTTCTACTGTTGAACTAGCATACGCCCTCTGCTTCTCCTGATATCCGAGACTACTTCTCAAAAGCTATTTCTACTACCACCCTTCTAAAAAAGCTATTTGTGGGCCTATTCGTAAGCTATTCTCTCTTATCATTCTTCTACTGGATCGCTTTTCCAAGCGCTCCATCTTCAAAACTCTTATTCCCCTCGTTGTCCACTTTCAATTCCCTGGTTGATACCCAAAACTGCTTGATTTTTTACCCGGACAGATAATAGTATAAAAGAACCAAAAAGGAAGCCGGTCTGCCAGCAAGAGGCATTTAACTCTTATATTTCCCAGAAGTGGCACTCGACTAGTCGTACTTGAAGAATAGTGAAAAAATCCCGAGGAAAAAGCTGTGTACCAGTGAAAATTCCATTGTCAGGATGTAGAGAAGACTTGTTGCTGGGGAGTATGCTAGATTGCCTTATTTCATTCCTTAGTAAATAAAAGGGTGTCTGATTTGTGCCAGAGACTAGTTTTTCAATCGTCTTCGATTAAAGATCACAAAAAGAAGTCACATATATTCCAGCACCAACGTCTAGCCTACTACTTGCTAGCTCATGAAAGTAAATAAGCCCATGCCCACCATCATATACTAAAAATTAAGTAAAAGCACTTAATAGGTGTTTAGAAAAGGAAAGGAATGCGGAGCTATTCAAAAAGGGAAAGAATACATAACTAACCCAGTTATGAACAAGAATTCTATAAAAATGCTTAAATATATTGATTTCCAAAAATACTCCAACAATGAGTCAAAAATACACCAACAAGGAGTTACAGTAATTCAAAATTCTAACTGCCTTCTTTCTCTCTCTTCCTTCTCACTCCCACACTTCTCGTTAACGTTTTTTTTCTCTCTTCTTCACTTATCTTCTTCTTCTTCTTCTTCTTCTTCTTCTTCTTCTTCTTCTTCTTCTTCTTCAATTATCCTTCTTCTTCTTTTCCAAACATGAATGCCTAAAGAAATAAAACAACAACAAAAAATTAATCAATTGGTTATGTACATAATAATTAAATCAATTAAAAAACAACAGAAATCTTTGTTAAATTAAATTAACAACAACAATAACAATAAAATAGAATACATACACACAAATTATACCCAAGATGATGCATAAGAAGAACTCAAAAACATTTGATGTAACAACAAAACAATAACATAACAACAACAAATAAACAACATGCAAATAACATATCAACAATAAATGAGCAACATGAAAATAACTGTTACTGCATAACAATTCAAAATCTGAAAGCCCATTTGCAGATAGTTATAACTATTAGAGGAAATTATATGGTGCACGACTCCTTATATATTTAATTACAATTTTACACTTAAACAATTAAATTTAGCAAAAGTACAAATTCCTGTAATTTGTATTGCAGTTATACGAAAATAAGAACATAAATATATTTATTCCATTATCGCTGATTTTGTGGGATAACTTACCAAATAAAATCAAAACTACCCCCCATTATCGCACATAGTCAATCCTCGCTTATCTCACACCACACCCACGAACAAAAAAACGCAGCTCTCATTTGTAAACCCTAGCTTCCTTCTTCATAGCAAAAACCAAATTGCCTCCCACAGCAGGCGACCCACCAACTCCCGGTGCCGGTGTTGATGCACACAGGCGATCGAGCACTCGTATCAAGCAAATAATGGCCAGAGATAAAAGTAAACTCATACAGAAAAAGCTCGATTTCGAAAAGAACATGAAGCCAACTGGAACAAGCAAGGAACTCGGCAAATCTCGACACATTAGGCAGAGCGCCAACCCAGATTCCGACGACTTTCAGTCGGACCATGGCGAATTTCATCATAAAGATGCTCGGAGACCTCAAAAAAGAAAGATCCCAAATGCGACTGAAGCAGAAGAGTCGCGAGATCCAAATTATCATGCTGAGGATGAAACACACGCTGTAGTAGATGACTCTGAAGGCAACTTGAGTGATGAATATGAGGATGAGCAAATATCGGGGATGAAATTCAGTAAAAAAAGGAAGGATGGAATACAGCAAGGACGTCATTTCAAAAAAAAGAGGACAAAAGATAGCAGGGCTGTAGAAAATACAACTGGGGATTCTCCTATAGGCAAAGTATTCAAGGTGAACTAGCATTGTTGAAAATTATCTGTTAATTTCATATATTGAGTTCCTAGTTTATAAAGTCAAAATATTGTATTTTCAATATAATGTGGTCCCATTGTTGACGAAGTTCATTTTCGTTGATATAAATTTGACGAAAAAGTTGGTCCCTCTGAACCCTTTACAATTGTTGAAGAATACTCTTTTACTTGGATAACATTCATGTTTGAAATTGGTAAAAACTGATCTTTTTTTTTAGGTTTGTTATGGTTTGTAAATTTTATTTTCTGTGTAAAGGTCTTTTGTAGTCATGTTTGAACATGGTTTGTCTATTGTATATCTGTAGTTTATTTCATGGATATGCTAAGTAAAAATTTACAAATATTTTAAAATTTTTATATTATATCATGTTTTTACAATGTTTTTGCACCCTTTACAGGATTCTTTATTGTAAATTTTTATATATTAAAATTTTTATATTATATCATGTTTTTGCACCCTTTACAGGATTCTTTATTGTATTTATGCTACAGGGTGCTTCCTTGACAATGTGATAAAAATTGGTTTTTGCACCCTTTACAATGTCTATGCTGAATATATGTTTATTTTTTTTCATGTAAGTGTAATTTGTGTGTAGTTCAGTTGTCAGTTTGAACATGGTATGTACAGTATATGTTTGAACAATATACGTACAACTTTGATCTTTTTGTAAATTTTATTTTCTGTGTAAAGGTCTTTTGTAGTCATGTTTGAACATGGTTTGTTTGTCTAGTGTATATCTGTAGTTTATTTCATGGATATGCTAAGTAAAAATTTACATATATTTCAAAATTATTATATTATATCATATTTCACGAGTTTGTGTAGTTTAGTTGTCTGTTATGACAATATTAACTCACACAACATATGATTATCTTTAGTTACCTGTCTGATGAGCATATGAGTAGTTTATTTGATGTTTATGTATATGTGAATCCACTTTTAATGTGAGATTAATTCTAAGTGCATATGTATATGTTAGTTTAAATCACTACTGAGTTTAATTACTTTGTATATGTATGTATATATATACATACATCAATATATATATATATATATTTGTATCCATGTCAAATTGTACACGTCTCAATATTTACTCTTGAGTTTGGTATATGTACAATATATGTGGAACATGTCAGTTGAAGGTTTATGTTTGTTATGTACAATGTTATCAAGTTGTCACATCAACTTATGTTATTTCTTGTAGGAGTGGGAATTGATCATACCAAATCCCAGGGATTTAAATGTCAAGGTTCTAAACAGTAATGACAACAGCAGAAACGATTCTACAATAGGTGAAATCAAGCGAATGCTTTCAGTCGATCAGTTAGATTTGTTTAGAGAATCTGCATTTGGTAAGTTCTTGGATCTACCGCACTGCAAGGTTCAAAACCAGCTTGTCAATCAGATTCTTTTACGTGAGGTGCATCAATCAAGGAGCGACGAGCTTTGGCTTGACTTTGGGGGGAGGTTGTTTCGGTTTGGCATCGAAGAATTTGCCCTGGTAACAGGACTGAAATGTACAGGCCCTTGCAAGAAGTTGAATATTCCTCAAGTAGCCGATGGAATGTACGACAAATTCTTTTCTGGCGTCGGATTAAACAGAAACTTCATCCGATGGCAGTTTCTACAAAAATACTGGAAAAACGATGAAGATGCTGTTAAATTTGCCAAGTTACACTTACTT